AAGACCCTAAACCATCTTCAACCGACGAGATTTTTCTCTATTTTTGCAGATTGAGGAGATTTTTCTTTATTTTTGCAGGGCAGGAGAAAAAAACTGCTTCAACCCATCCTGCAATTTTGTAGAATTATCTATTTATTTATATAATTATCTATTTTTTTAAATATTATTTATTTATTTATTTATATAGTTATCTATTTTTTTTATATTTATTTAATTTTTATTTTTTTAAATATTATCAACAAAATAAAAAATTGTATTAATTTTTTTATTTTGTTTATATTTTTATATTTTATTTATTTATTTTATTTTGTTTTAAGTTTATATTTTATATATTTTATTTTATTTTATTTTTGTTACTTTTAATTTTATTATTTTTTATTATAATTTTGTAATTAATATTTATAGTAAATTGTTTATTTATTTAATATTTATTAAAATTTATAATTAATTGATTATGCTAAAATAATTATAAATTATATATATTAAATTTAAAATATTATAATATTTATAAATATAATTTTTTGGTATAATATTTAAAATATTAATTAAAAATATTATTATAACTTAAATGTAAAAATAATAAAATATTAAATTTTATTTGTAATTTTAAAAATTATATAAAATAAAATATAAAGAGAATATTTTTTAACCCTACAAAAATGGAGGGTATAGTTGGAGAAGAGACCTGCAAAAATAGAAGGTATGGTTGAAGATGGGTTACTGTAGCAGACCCTGCAAAAATAGAGAAATGTATTGAAGACCCTGCAAAAATGGAGTTATGGGTTGAAGATGGTCTAATTTACGTAATACTCCTTCCGTCTTAATACAATAATCTTATTTATTATTTTTATTCATCCCAAAATAATAGTCTCATTTTCATAAATAATTATATCACTATAAAATTATTTTTATTTTTTTATTATTATTACACAATTGCCACTATTTTTTACACTAACATACTCACAAAGACAAAAAAGTTATTTATTCTTACTTTTTACCAACTACCAATATCTTTTAAATCAATATCAATATCGTATCAAACACAATAAGATTATAATTTTCGGAACAAGTAATATATATATATATATATTTTTCATATATCTGTGTATGTTTTATTTATTATCCTGTTCCTGTTTCTCACTCTTCCTTTTGCCATGTCTGTGTAAGTTATCTTCACTTTCTGTGAGTAGAAACAAAAAGTTGTGTCTCTTGACCCCAAAATATATATCATTATATATATATATATATATAGTACTCCATCTCCGTTTTACATTGATCTGTTTTGTACACGAAATTTTAAAAATATTAATATTACATTAGGATATAGTAGAAATAAGGATAAAAAAATTAGACTAATCTTATTAGTATTGTATGATATGAAAGTTATGATATTTGTGTAATATATTATAAATTGAAATGGTATTTGTAATGTTAACTAGATAGTACAATTACTAAAAAAAAAAACAAATACTTTGTTATGGGACGGACCAAAATGAAAAAATAGATAAATTGTTAAGAAACGAAGGAAGTATTTGTGTAATATTAATATTAGTATTATATTAATATGTAATAATCTTATCGAAGTTATATGATATAAAAGTAATGATATATTTGTGTAATATATTATAAATTGTTGTTGTCGTAAAAAAATCGCCACCGACGGCTTAATCGGAAAGCCGGTCGGAATTGCTTAAATCGTAGGGTTCCCCGACCTCCTCAAAAAAGGATCCGGGCTATCTCGCGATAATTAAAAAAAAAAATTAACGAAGAAAGTAGGCCAAGTTGAAATGAATGCTGGAAGACGAATTAAATTGGAATTAACAAGAACAAACGGTAAAAGTCTAAAAATACTGCGGAAGTTAAATTGCAAAGAAAAATTAATGTCAAAGAAATGATTTCATGCCCTTTAATTTTCTTTTTATTCCCTAAACCTTGTTCGGATAAGGTTCTCATTTCTTATTTTTCTCCAACCTCCCCCAAATTCTTCTCACTTTCGAATTATGTTTTATCCGTTTCTTCTTTCACCAAGTATCTTACTGATCCGGGCCTTTTTGTGGGCCGTGTTCTCCCTAGGTTGGGCTCCCAATATGGATTGGGCCTCTGGTTGAATTTTAGAGTGTACAGTTAGTTGTAAAAGTATTTTTAATGTTGAGTATATAATACATTTATTAAAAAAAATGAATACTTTGTTATGAAACGGACAATAATAGAAAAATAAATAGTTTGTTATTAAAAATTATATTGAATAAAAATAATATTGATTTTTATTTTGAAATTACAAGAATAAATCCTATATACTATTTCTGTCCGGCTCTAAAGGTCCCATTAACTTTTTGGGTATTGATTTTTAATATTAATTATTATAAAAAGATAGTACAAATAAAAAAAGTACAAAAATACTTATAGTAGTGTTTTATAATACTAATAGAATGACATTTATAAAAAATATATATATAAATACAATAATATTTTTAATATTAAGCACAACAACGTAAAAGATAAATGTGACTTTAGAGACGGACGGATGAAGTATTTATCTATCTTGTATTTAGAGAGAAAGAAAAACAGATATGATGCCATCTCCAACAAATTCCTTAATTTTTCAGCAGCTACAATAAAAATACAGTTGGTCTGCAATAATTTTAGTCCAACTACGAACTTAAATTTTTACACTAAAAAATATATTTCCTGTATATTTATATTTTATAGTATTATTTTATATACCTTTTCATATTTATAAATTACATTCTAACTTTAATTTATTTCTACATTATCACTAAAAAAAATATAATTCATATTTTATTTATAAAATTATATATCACTTTTAAAAAAATAAATTATATATTATTTTTTAAAAAATTAAAATTACACATCACTCTCAAAAATTAAATTATGTATCACTTTTAAAAATATAAAATTATATATTATTTTAAAAAAAATAAAATTACACAAAACACAAAAATAACAAAACATATTAAATACTCAACTAAAAAAAATGGAGCGGGTAGATTAAAAAAAAAAAAAGAAAAAAAAAAAAAAAAGGAGATATGAGTAGAATTTACAATTTCTTTTATTTTTAAATTATATTTTTATTATTTATCATTTTTATTTATTTAAAACTAAAAATATAAACTATCTTTAAAATTAATTTTTATTTTCATTATTATATTAATTTATCATAATTTTATATTATTAAGAAATATATTCTTTTATTCTTTTATATTTTTTCTTTTTATATTATTATTTACAAAATATTATAGTATTACATATATATATATATTATATAAAAAATAATTTAAATAGTAACTTGTGTAATACTATTTTATTCGTAAAATTATATTTTTAAATGGTATTTTACGGTAATATTTTAAAAAATAATAATAAATTATATTTTTATAATTAAATAATATAATAATAAAAATCAAAAAATAATTTGAATATAATTAATTTTAAATAATTTTTTTAAAATATAAAAATTTTAAATCATATGCATATTTACTCTTTTTTCATTTTTTTTTCTCTCTCATTTTTTCATGTATTCTAATTTTATTTGTTGGAATAGACCCCTAAATGTCACATATATGCTTTAAGTGCTGATTTTTTAATATAAGAAAAAAAAAATATTTTTATTAATATTTTATAATACTAATAAAAAGATATTAGTACAAAAAATTATACAAATATAATATTTTTAATATTAAGTATCATGACACAAAAGATAAATGTAACGGAAAATAATATTTTAATGCTAAAGTGTGATAGGTTAATAAAATAAGTGAATGGATTATAAAAGAATTATTAAAAATAATAATGAGAAATTAATTACTACTAATATTTATTAAAATAAAAATAATAGAATTATAAATTGAAAAACTTATGTACTATTCCACTATCTTATATATAAAAATATTTATTTTTTTATTTGTATTCGTCTATATAATTTTTTTTATTATTATTTTAAAAAATGATTATATATTATCATTATATTTTAAAATCTATAATTTTTAAAATTTTAATTAAATTAATTTTAATATACAATTTCTTTTATTACTATATATTTTTAATTATATTTTATGAAAATTCACATATATATATTACTCCCTCCATCCCATGTAATATGTGTGTATTACTGTAGACATGAGAATTTAGGTAAAGTATAATTAGTAAGTAATTAAGAAGTGTATTAGTAAAAGTAATTATAAATTAAAAATTAAAATAAATAAATAGTTTAATTAAAATTAAAAACATTATAAAATTTAAAATTTAAAATGCGACTAAAGTGCATAATTATATTTCTAAAAATAGAAAAGACAAGTTAAATGGGACAAACAAAAATAAAAAATAAAGACAAATTATGTGGACGAAGAGAATAATATAAATAATTTAACCGAGACGACTGAATAAATAAATAAATAACTAAAAGAAAAAAAATAACAATAATAATAAAATAAAAAAAAGGGCCTGCGGCATCAGCTGATCTCAAGTGGTCAGCAAATATACATCACCTCACCATCACAATTCACATCTCATTATAGAGAGAGAAACACAAGCACATATATATATATACATACATACATATTTACAAATACAGGATGTGGCGTCGTTAAAAAGAAAAAAATATTTATATAATTAAAATTTAAAATAAAATTGAATAATTATAAAAAAAAATTATATAAATTTAATTTAAAATTTAATATTCTCTTTTCTTATAATTAAGTATTCATTTGTTTTTTTACGTAATTTTAGAAATATTAGTATTATATTAAGATAGAGTAAAAATAAAGTATAAATGACTAAAATAAATTTATTAGTATTGTGTGATATAATGTAATGATATTTGTGTAATATATTATAAATTGTAAGTATATTTGTAATATTAAATATATAGTATAGTTATTAAAAAAGAAAATAAATACATGTTATGTGACAAACTAAAATAAAAAAAAAAAAAATATTATAAAACAAAAGGAGTAATAATAATGAATAATGAACAATATTTTTTTAAAACTATAAACCATTTAGGGATTTGAGGAGGTGTTAGTCTCCGCCCATGTATATATATATTTTCTCTCCCAAGAAATCTCCAAATTGATACATACATATACATATAGAGAGAGAAAATCAAGAGAGAGAGATGCAAGAGGAGGGTGTGGGAAGCATGATGGGCGGTAATATGGTCGCCGCCGCCGGAGGAGGGCTGAGCGATGTCTCTCCGGCGGTCTCCGGCGAGTTGCACCACCAGGTGAAGGCGGAGATGGCGGCGCACCCTTTGTACGAGCAGCTACTATTGGCCCACGTGGCGTGCCTGCGCGTGGCCACGCCGATCGATCAGCTGCCGTTGATCGACGCGCAGCTCGCTCAGTCGCACAACATCATCCGCTCCTACGCCGCCGCCGCCGCCGCCGCGCCGCCGATGTCGCCGCCGGAAAGGCAAGACCTAGACAACTTCCTGGTACACACATAGATACATATATCTATATATATATATATATATAACGAATTTATTAAATAAATAAATATATTTATATAAATTGCAATTAATTAATTAAAATAATAATAATCTCTTCTGTCCTACTCTTAAATTTTATTTATTTTTAAATTATTATATTTAATATTAAAAATATTTTTATATTTATATAATTTTTTTATAAATATTATTATAATAATATTATAAAATATTAATAAAATTATTTTTATTATTTTTTTTATATTATATTTTTATATAATAATTAATATTTAAAATTGCTAACAGAGATATTAAAAAATTGGAAATTAATTAATTAAATATACAGGCACAGTATTTGGTAGTTCTGTGGTCGTTGAGAGACCAGCTGCAGCAACACGTCAGAGTCCACGCTGTCGAGGCTGTCATGGCCTGCCGTGAAATCGAACACAATTTACACTCTCTCACAGGTAGTAATAATAATAATAATAATAATAATAATAATAATTTTTCATGGTTCAAACTTCGGACACTTCAGGATATTTGTCACACATGGTACTTGCCAATCGAATCTAGTTTGCGCAGAATAATTATTTTGAACTTTGCTTAAATAAAAGTAAGCAAAATTTGGAAATTCGAAATTTGTTTTTGAGAATAGTGAAATATATGCTCTATTCGTTTCGATTCAAAATATCTATTTATTTATTTGTTTATTTTTTTAATAATAAATTAAAAATAATAATATTTTATTAATTAATTGAAGTATATAAGGTAAGTGTTGATATTTTTGTTCAAAAAAATATTTTTGTAAAAATTAAAAGAATTTGATATTTATATATGAATTGCTTTTTATTATAATAGGAAGGATAAATAAAAATAATAAAAGAAAGTGTATTAAGTTAGAATATGAGATACTTCATCCGTCTTACGTATCATGTCCATATTGTCGTTTCTGTCTGTCTCACATACTATGTCATTTTCCATTTTTTTTAAAATAATTATACACTTTAATCTCATTTTAAACTTTTTAATTTTTTTTAAATTTTAATTAAACTAATTAGTTATCTTAATTTTAATTTATAATTATTTATATTATAGGATAATTATTTTCACCAATACATTTTTAATTATCTACTAATTATACCTCTCATAAAATACCATGTCTACAGTGTAGCAGACACGGTGTGGGACGGAGGACGGAGAGAGTATTTTATAAGAAAAATATTTAATTTGAATTATTTTTTAAAAAATAACTCTTGATAAATAATGTTAGGCTATTATATCACACTTTTATTTTCAGTGAATTTCTCATTATATGGTCTTTTTTTACAATTATATTTTTATTTTAAAATATTATCACTTTATATACATATGTATATATATAATTAATTATATATATTTGATTTTAATTAAGGATGTGGTTAAGGGTTTTTGTGATTAATTGGGGGGTTTGGTGGGGGTGATAAGGTTAGTGATGAGAGAGGCCGTACACTACCAACAAATGGGTGGGGTGGGTAGGAGGGGTGGGGGTGGGAAGGGGCCCACGTGTTGGGTGCACGGTTGGGAGAGTATTGGTTGAGGGTTGTGTGACTATTGAGTTAATTAGAGTGACAATGCAGCAATAAATTAAATATCTGACGCCTTAGCTCACCTGTCACACATGGTTCGTTTAGTGTGATTTTTTCATCGAGTCTGATTTGCAGGGTATTAGGTTCGACCGGAAGTTTATCCAATGCGCATTTTCGAGTAGCGACTGCGGATTTTCACATCATAAAAAAAAATAAAATATGAATATAAAAAAATAAAATATAAATATATGAATATAAATATAAATATGAATATAAATGACATGATCATCATCTCAAAAAATGATATTGAAAATGATAGGTTTATTTAATTGAATCTTGATTGCTAACAACCCATTTCCATTTGGTGGGGTTGCTTCGAGGGCCAGATTTTTATTTATTGAGATATTTTTTTTTGGTGAAATAATAATTGAATATGTGAATTTATTTTAAAAATATTTTATTTTTATTAGAAATAATTCAGTCTATTCACGCAGTAATTTTTAATAGAACAATTCTTTATAAATATTATTATAAAAAATATAAATAAACACATATTAATATAATATATAATCAACTATGTAACACAAAATATTATTTTTCGAATTACCAACCTAGTTCCCCGTACCACACACAAAAAAATCATTTCATTTTAAAAACACTGAGTGAACACATGATTGTGAAGCTACATAATAATAATAATAATAATAATAATAATAATAATTTGTGATTTGGGTGTTTGGTGTGTTTTTAAACAATGAATTTTTTTTATTTGAATAATTGATTGATTGATATAAGTATTTAATAGTATGATATTTTGAATAGAAACCAAAGTTTGTATGCAATATATAAAATGAATAATTAATGTATGATAGTTTTTATTTTGGAGTATGCAATTTTTTTTTAAAAAAAATACTCCATTTGTCTGTAGGGTTATATTTATCTTTTGCGTCATTGTATTTAACATTAAAAATATTATTATATTTGTATAATTTTTTATACAAATGTCCTATTAGTATTATAAGACAATGATAGAAGTACTTTTGTAAGTTTTTCTTAATTTGTACTACTTTTTGATATAATAATTAATATTTTAAAATCAGTACGCAAAAAGTTAAGATCCTTAGAGCTGGACGAAGGTAGTATATTTTTTTTTTATAAAATATCACATCAAATATTATTTTAATATAAAATCTAAACCAAATTCAAAGAAACATCAACCCTTAATATCCAAATGTATCGATCATGATTTTTTTTTTTTAATTATCGATAGGAGCGACGCTAGGTGAAGGAAGTGGAGCGACTATGTCGGATGACGAGGATGAGATACAAATAGACTTCTCCTTGGATCAATCGGGCGTCGATGGTCATGACATCATGGGATTCGGACCATTGATCCCGACAGAATCGGAGAGGACTTTAATGGAGAGAGTGAGACAAGAACTTAAACTCGAGCTCAAACAGGTCGATATATATATATATTACATATATTAAAATCTCGGTTCACAAATTCAACAATTGCTCGCCCTTAAAATGATTGAATTTGCAAAAAAAAAAAAAAAAAAAATTTGGTTTTGTGAGTAGGACATTTTATCGTTTTATTCCTTTAAGTAACCTCGATATGTAAATAATATATATTTCACTCGTTGTCGTTCTAATGTATTACTTTTTGTAAGACTATTAGATCAATAATGAGTGATATATATATGATTATATTTATATCGAGTCATTTAGAAGATTAACATGATAACGAGTAACATATACATCGCAAAAATTACATGTTTGTTTGATTATGTCTTACTGTGTTTTGAGAATAGTAAAAAATTTGGATCGAAATCATTTGATGATATATATAGTATTTAATGTAATATATTAAATAAGAAATAGATGTAAAATATTTGATATTCTAAAGGAAATGAAATTACTTAAAAAATGTAGTGAAAATAATCGGTTAAAAATAAAACCAAACAAACTCCTATTCATTTTTTTTAAAAAAATTCTTATAGTGTAATTTTGATAAGCTTAGAACATAAATTTATGTTATGAAAAATGCAATCAAGGTTCTTTTTGTTATAGGGTTTCAAGTCAAGAATCGAAGATGTAAGAGAGGAAATTCTTCGGAAAAGAAGAGCCGGGAAGTTACCCGGCGACACGACAACGGTGTTGAAGAATTGGTGGCAACAACATTCTAAGTGGCCGTACCCGACGGTAAGTCTCCGCCTCGCAATATTTTCATTACAACATATTCCTTTGTCCGTTCCTTATAATTACTTTTTACTTAAGTATATTGAGTAAATTTATGTTAATATCATAAATAGGAACAACCTTTTAATTTTCGGATTCTACTTCGAATTTTACTATTTACTGTTCTTGTTTTCCTCAAAACAATCAATCAAAACACTTATTATTATTATTATATTAAAAATTAATTTTACGTGCAAAATATATCGACACATGTTTATATCAAATTATAAAATTATCCAAATTCAAATTTTTTATTATTCAAGACTCAAATTCAAAATCCAAACCCTCGACCAAACATAACCTATAATTTAACATACATAGGGAGGGTGTGTTTCTTTACACCCCTAAACTCCACATTTTTACTATTTAAACTTTGCATTTTTGGAAAAAAAAGTATAATTTTTTTTTTCTCATAAAATATTTCATTATACATTATTTTAATACTAAACTCAAACCAAAATATTTCAAATCCCATCAAAAGAAACATACCCTATGTTTATTTAATTGTAGTTTGAAATTGATTTGAGATGAGATGTTTATTTGATTTTTTGTTTTAATAGTATTTTCATATTTATTTTACGAGAATAAATAATACTCCTTCTGTCCCAATACAATAATCTTATTTACTATTTTTGTTCATCCCAAAACAATAGTCTTATTTCTATAAATAACCAAATCACCATAAAATTAATTCTACTTTTTCATTTTTATTACACAATTGCCACTATTTTTTACACTAATACACTCACAAGGGCAAAAAAGTCTTTTAATCATACTTTTTACCGACTACCAATATAATAACAATATTTCTTAAATTCTGTGCCCAATTCAATTAAGACTATAATTTTGGGACGGAGGGGGTATATTTTTATTATATATTAGTAACTTTGTCACTCATTAAATCATATATAGATTATGAATTAAATTCATTCCTTAATGAATTTCTTAAAATGACCTCAACTATATATATATATATATATTCACATTTATATAACCCTTTCATCTGCCATTATTATATTCGTTTACTTTTGACATGGAGTATATGTTACTGGTACTTAATAGTATTTTTATGTGTAAAAATTATTTTACTCATAATATGATATTATCCATTTTGGATTAAATTTGAACAGATTTGATTTTGAACTTTCCAAAGTGATCATATTATATGGAGTTAAATGTTCTCTCATAATCAATGATATTTTCGCTTATTTATTACTATTTTCGTCCGGCTCTAAGGGTTCCATTTACTTTTTATATATTGATATTTGAATATTTATTATTATATCAAAATGTAGTATAAATTATGAAAAAATTGCAAAAATACTTCAATTAGTATCTTACAATACTAATAGAAAGACATTTGTACAAAGAATTATGCAAATATAAGAATATTTTTAATGTTAAATACAATGACTTAAAATATAAGTATAACTCTTAGAGGCGGACAAAGAGAGTATTATTATTGTTATTACTAGATTTTTTATGCGAAACTTGAGTTTGTTCTTTTTTTTTTTCCCAATGAAACTGATAAAAATAACAAAATGTATACCTTAACACGCGATAAAGAATTATTAGTTTGTGTTTTTTTTAAAAAATCTCTGTGTCCAATCTTATAGGCATATTTTTCCCTAATGCCGAGAATATAAATTGAAGCTGGAAAACTCGACCAACGGATACCATTTTTTTTTTATTTTTTTAATGTTCAGGAAGATGATAAGGCGAAGCTTGTCGAGCAAACGGGGCTGCAGCTGAAGCAAATAAACAACTGGTTCATAAACCAACGCAAGCGCAATTGGCACAGCAATTCCCAGTCGGCGACATCTCTAAAGTCCAAACGCAAGCGATAAATAATTAGAGAGATCTATTGAATGTGTACGTTAGGTTAACTTGAAGATCATGATGATCTAAATCGAAATAGATTTAATTTTTGGTGTGAAACTAATGGCTCGATCGGGTTTAAGTTTTAGCGCGACGAAATGAATGCATGAATGAATTAATGTGTGTATATATATATATGAATGTTCGTGTAGAAAACCTCTTGGTTGATCTAATTTGTGTTGTTTTTGAAAATTTGTGCAATTATGTCGAGAATTTTTTTTGTTTATTTTTTTATTTCTTCTTATTTTTGGGTGGTTCATCAAACAATTTTCAGGTGATATGATCTTCAATTAATATTTTCAAAAATTATAATATATACATTAGGGGAGGGTTACGGGCTGATTTGGGTTCAAATCAGCACACGTAAAGTATAGAAACAATACATATATTTATTACATACAATATGTTTGTAATAAAAGTATGTGATGTCTGTTTAATTACAACGTGTATTGTATAAGAGTATATCATGTGCTAAAATAATTGCGTCATGCAGCGACGAAACTAGCATCTAAATCTCGGAGGGGGCAAAATGTTATAATTTATTTAATATTTAGCTAATAAATTTAAATAAATAATAATGACAAAATTATATATGAATTTAGACGATTTTGGGGGGAAAATTGTATATAAATACATAAAAATTAATATTTTTAATACTAAAAAAATTATAAAAAAATTGCTTGGGGTTCAATTGACCCTCCAAGCCCTAGTGTAGTTCCGTCCCTGGCGTCATGTGCTGTGTAAGATTACATTATATGTTGTATTTGTATAATATTAATATAAATGATGTGTTGTCAATAGTATTATCATGCACTGTTTGTTAGCAAACAGTGAAATTCTGCACCGTAACTGCAACCATATACACTAATACAATCTGCATAAAATGTATATTCTATTTACCCATAAATAATCAACAATTCAATTTAAAAATACATCTATTAAAAAATACGAAGTGAATATACCATTTGTATCTTTTATTTAAATTGATGTTTTTAAGGTGAAATATTTGTTGGATGAGTTATTTTATATAAAATAATATTAAATATGATACTATGTTTTAAGGAAGAATGAACAATTAATAGTAAGAAGAAATAAAATTATCAAGTGGATAAATCTCATTATTTCATTGTGTTTTAATAAAAATTACAAAACCCTATTTGTTAAATTTTTTGTATAGTAATTTATTCACAATTTTAAGTCACAATTTTCTTTTTTTGGAGTATTCTTTTGTGTTTGTCTTGATATTTGTATCAATATAAATAGTTGAATATGATGTTTTATTGAAAAAATATCCTTCATTCGTCCGAGCTAAATTTGTTTTTTCAATTTACCCAAAAATGAGACATATATAGGTTTAAGGGTTCCAAAGTCCAAACTACATATTTCCATTAGAATCGAATCAAATAAAAGATAAACAAGACACACACTTCATAAATTCCTTACTACAACAATAAGAAAAACCAACACATGCAATGTAATATCCCTATTACAAAATGCAATGATGATGATCTCAATGTTCTTGTTCTATATATTCTTGGTTGTTCTAATGGTAGTATATATCCTTCTCCTCCTTCTTCGACAAGACAAACCACTTTTATAATTAATCACCATTAGACTCTCATCAAGAACATAAAAAACTAAGAACGAGTAGGAAATATATCTGATTAAAAAAAAAGAACGAGTAGGAAATATAGATTCAAAACACATAAGTAAATCCGATCCCTCCAAGAGTGTCCTAATCAATACAAGGGTTTACCCAAAATTGCGAGTGATCTTCTTCAACAAAGAAAGCAAAACTCTTTTGTAGACACTTAGTAACAATCTTGAGATGATTAGCTTTAATGAATTGTACGTACCTCTTTAGCGGTTTTTGTTCATTGAAGAAAGGGACACCAGTACCGGCGTTTGCGCGAGCTAGCGACGGGGCAACAACCGATCACCCCCCAAGAGTTGGCGAAGACCAATCCTGACCCATAGATCAAACTCAGACTATAATATTCCATTCCTTGAAAGCCAGTGAATACTAGAGCCAGTAAAACGGTAGCTACTAGATTCGTCAGCTACCGCGTCGATCTATCCTCCGCAATCTTTGTCATTTTTTTTTTGTTGAATATTGTCCGCATAGAAAAAAATATGAGAACTCTCTATTACTTATAAAAGTGAATGACTATTCTATTTAACATAAATTGATTTTAAGTTGAAACTCTGATTACTTTTTAACATAGTATTAGAGAATCCAAAGGTTGTATCATGAATACGAGAATCTATAGATTTTTGTTGAATTATTAAAATTTAAATATATTTAATTTAAGTTTTTAAATGTCTTAACTTTTTTTTAGATAAACAACTATTTACAATTTATAGATTTTTTAAGAATAATATAAATTAATAAAAAAAATTGTTCCACAATCATATCAATTCTATGAAATTCATATAAATAAATAACGCAGTCAAGTCAAGTCAAACTAAAGTTTGAATAATTTTTTAAATCCACAAAACTCTTACATATTTTTCAAGTTCATTAAAATTTTAATTGAATATACTCCATTTAGAGTTAATGTCCTTTTTTTTTTCTTTTTTTTTTTTTTTTTAAGAATTAGATGTTTGGTTATATGTTAAATTCGTAGTTCCAAGTTCGATTTGATTTGTTGGAATAAAATATTATTTAGTTAATGTTGAATTATTTTCGATTCAGTTCCGTTGTGAACGATCGAGTCTTATTTTCAACTTTAACAGTGTTAAGAGTTCTATTTCCAACTCCGATCCGATGGATGATTCTGGCTACATCACTTCGGCTCAATTTTGACAATTTTAAATTCGTTCGTAAAAGATCTCGGCTACATAATTTTCAACCACTTGTGACAAATTCAAGTATGTTTGACTATACTTTTTTTTTTACTATACTTTGAGTTTGAGGAGTTGTGTTAAATATGTTTTAAAAAATATATATTATATTTATGGTACTTGTTTTATTTAAAAGATTTGTAGAAATTTTGTTTTATTTAGATGATTTGTATATAGTATAAATATATAATTCTTATTATTAAAATAGATAGAGAATTTCAATTTTATATTCTAACAATTTTGAATTGTTTAGTTTTTTGAATAAATATAATAGATGTAGTATTATATATTTTGTGTAAATATATGTATATATTGGCTTTTTTTCTATAATACTTCATTCGCCCCTTAACAATCTATCCATTTTTTCATTTTGGTCCGTCTCATAACAAAGTATCAATTTCATTTTTTACTAATGGTACTACCTACCTAATATTACAAATACCCTTCAAATTTACAATATATTATATAAATATCATTACCTTTATATCATACAATACTAATAGGGTTAATTTAGTCTTTTTACCTTTATTTTTACTTTATCCCAATATAATACTAATATTTCTAAAATTTCATATAAAAACAAATGGATATATAGATATGAGATGGTGGGAATATTGGTCTAAAAGCTAAGCATGCCGAAAAATCACACTATATTATATTTTAAAAGTAATCAGTAAGGTTATATATATATATATATGAAATATTTTGTCTTTGATATGTAAGTTAATTAATTTATAATATTGGTATAAACAAATGTAAGTCTAAAATTATTTCTAATACTCATTCCGTCCCGCTATAAAGTATACATATTTCTATTTTGGAACGTTCAATTACAAAGTAACTATTTCAGTAAATACCTTACTTTTTTTTTTTTTCAGAAATACTCTTAATTTACATCACATTATTATTTTATACCAAAAAGTAAAGACAAAAATGTCACTACACTACTTTTACCTACCCACTATAATTAAAATACTATTATTTCTTAAATTCTGCTCCAAAAATAAATGTATACTTCTTGCTTAGACGGAGGAAATATATAATAAAAGATCTATGTTTTGTATAAAGGAAAATTAATAGTATTTTATATTTGAAGAATCTAAAATAGCAAAATAACCACTTTATCAACAGTGAAATGAAATATTTAAAGTATAATATTAAAAAAAATATTATTTTTTAAAACCATATAGTAGTAATTTTTTTTTTATTTAAAAGTCTTTAAACTCAAAACACCCAAAATATGAAACTGGTTTTAATTTCAAATTAAATTACAATTATTAAAATCTCAATTGAGAAATACTACATCAAAAATACTATCTAAATAATAACTTAAATAATACTTTCTCCGTCTATTTTCTAATGTCCTATTTGATATTTACACGTAATTTTAGGCAAGTAGAGTTTTTGTTATAAAATGACAAATTTGTCCTTAATTTTGTGTATATAAAATGAAAGAGTAAATAAAATAAGAGTAAAATAGTAAATTTTGTATAAAAAATAAAAAGAGGACAATAATTGTTGAACATTCCAAATGAGAAAGTAGGACGATAATTTGTGGACGGAGGGGTAGTAAATAATAAAAAAAAAAAGAAAAAAAAGCTCAAAAAACAGTTCTACTTTAATTTGCATAAAGATTCAGCCCTATGATAAGTATACATATTATTCATTCTATTTACAAAATATATATTATTTGAATTAGATATGAATTTAAGTAAATATATTATTATAATAATTTATTGTAATATAACATAACAATATTTTAATGAATCTATGAATGAATTTGGTAAGATGAGATTTGAAATAATTATTTAATTTGACATTTATAAAAATATACTCCCTCCGTCTTAATACAATAATCTTATTTATCATTTTTGTTCATCTTAAAATAATAGTTTCATTTTTATAAATAATTATATTACCATAAAACTATCCTTACTTTTTATTATTATTACACAATTGCCACTACTTTTTATACTAATATACTCAAAACGGCAAAGAAGTCATTTATCATTATTTTTTACCAACTACCAATATAATATCAATATTTTTTAAATTCCGTATCTAACACAATAAGATTATACTTTTGGAACGTGGGAGTATATAACATTTTTATTGAAAAAATGTGTATAATATAATTGTAAACAATTATAAAAGCAAATACACTCAATCTTTCTTTTTTTAAAAAAATAAAATAAAATAAAATTATTTGTGGCACAATGGAGTATGTCTTCCCATAATGTGGGTCTTTCCATTAAAAAATAAAATAAAAATAAAAATAAAACAATAATATAATTTAGTTATTTGAAAATTAAGTAAACTAATTAATAGACCCCATCAAAACACATTATTAATTCCTAAATTT